CAAAACCAATCTTAGCCACAGGTGAAGGTGGTCATCCGGTGTTCGTCCTAAAAGTGAATGGGATAAGATCCATCACTCCCTCTATCGCAACTATGGTCAGAACCATTGTTGATCCAGCAAGAATTCACGGGTCCTCATGACTATTTGACTAAAGCTTCGCCAGTTTTTACTCTCATCTCTTCTTTAAGCAAAATCCACATACTTCCACACTGGTTTTCTGCCCCTTGAAGACTGGATATTGTTTCAAGATAACTATAATAGTCACTATAGTCGCTATAGACTTTCTGTGCCTAATGCTCAGTCGCTAAATCAATCGAATTTTTGTATAAAACAAAAGTATGGTGTTTGGACAAGAGTATTAATGACGCAAATATCTGGTGAAATTTCAAATGCAACTTTTTACAGTCTACCGGATGGAGTCCGCTGTGAATTTTTCAACTTTCGCTTATCTGGGACTGCTTCTTGGGTCAACTAGCCAGTCAGAATTCATACTAAATTGAGATGCTCCATTATCTTTTGAACAGCAGAGATTTCACTAACAGAGACGCTGATTAGACGCTGCAGATTTATTTTTAGCAATTGGCAAACACTTCTTTCTGCTATTCCCAATTTTGAAATGTCCGCTAAGCTTACTTTTCCATTTGTTTGTTTCCATATTTCCGGTCCTGTCGTTTTATAATGCGCTTCCGTATTTGCAGGGTCCGCAAACTAAACAACAATTTTGGTGAAAAAAGAATCTTTCACGAGAATGTTCGTGATCAAAACCTCACTTGATTCATAACGTAAGAGTTAGGGATGACTTTAGCTAGCTCATACGCTCTTTCGATGGCACCTCTTACTGCTATTGAAGGATCCGTTAGTACTACCTGCAATAAATTCACACTTTTTAGATGAACAAGAACAAATAGAAGTGGAATGGCCACTTTTGACTTGGATCTGTATTTACATCTTCATAAAAACAAAGTCTGCAACACTGTAGAACATATCACCTCAGCCCCGAAGGCCTTGATAAGAGTTCGTCTCTCTACGCTCATGGACGATGGCATCGTGAATATAACTTTGTATCTGGAAATTCGGACAAATATTTACATAATAGTATTTATTTATCAGGGTACCCTTTCAGGTTAGCACAAAACGCCAGCGCAATACCAAAGTTTCCACTAGTTGGCTCGATGAGTACTGTCTTTCCTGGCGTTATTTTCCCTGCTTTCTCAGCTGTTTCAATCATGTTGAAGGCGATGCGGTCTTTTACCGAGCCAACCGGATTCATGTACTCAATTTTTGCTGCTGAAACAAATCGTATCTCTATGATTTGTACTCCGCTTGCAACGCTAATCATCAGTTTGATTTCAACAAGTTTGTGTTGAATTTTTGGGTAAAGTGGAGAGTTTCTGATCACTACAAAACACATTAAACTGCTACTTGTACGACTTCACTTTGTTGAGTTGGATCAAGTAAAGAGTTGTGATTTGTGGACAACAGGAACCAATGCGATGCGTAGCTTGAAAGTACGAATCCAAACCTTTCATGCATTCATGGAAATCTGGATATGTAAAGGAGAAGAAAAAGCAAATTGATATTCAGCTTTTGGCAGTATTTGAAGAATATTCGCATCTGCTGTTTTTTCTTCTGTCAAAGATACAAAAAGGCACTCACCTATTGTTGCATCTAATCCTTCTGTGACATGGTTCAGCTTGAGAAGTGGCGTATTACCGATGAGTTCGGCAGGAGATGTGAGCATAGAGTCGCGCGACATCCTGTTTGAACTGCAAAAGATAATTATTATTCAAAATCATGCTTTAGAACAGATTATAGAGCCTAGAAATGCAATGCTTGAGATTTCAGGATTTTCAAAAAGTTCAGAAAGTTTTATCATTCATTTCCGTGTAGAATGTTTGATGAGACTGCAGAAAGGAAGCATACCAAAAAATTCTTCGGAGTGCTTGGCTGACGCCACGCACCTT